CACTTAGAAAAGATCCCAAGATGGTGAAGCTTAAAAGTTTTCCTGCAGGTAGCTGCGATTAGTGGCAAAGGAGAGAGAGGGCATGGTTTATGTCATAGCCTACCATCCACTGAAGGCCATCATACTGAGTCCCCAAACAGCCCTAGACCAAAGCCAAACCTCTGAGCTGAGCAATTAAGAAGCAAAATTTCTGGAGATCTTTGTTGTGTGGTTCTCAGCTTTAGAACTCCGAAGAGTTCACGTTCCTCCATTTTTCCACAGTAGCAACTCTTCTTTCCCGCTCTCTTGCAGAAAGCATTACTAACCACCTCAATTTACCCAGGAATTTTCCACCTAGAACCTAAAGTTCATACGCAGTTAAGATTTGTATTCTTTGGGGAGAGAAGTATCAAAAATGATGTAGCCAGCTTTTCGTGTGAGAGAAATACTTACTTAGCTGACACCTCTATTTGGAAGATCGACGCATTTTTCTATATGTAAGTTATACTCAATTAAAAAAAAATTAATTCTACTAACAAAGACACTCACCCCCTCAGCGAAGCTGCCCTTACTTGACTAAAGTTCTAATGGGGTTCTCTATACCCATATACCCTACCCCATTTATAAAGGGAGGGGCAGCAAAGAAACATGAATCTCTTCCCCCTCACACGTACCCCAACCCCTCACCCAAACTGCATTTTCCCTCAGTGTATGTCTTCCATTCAGTTACATGGAACATCGCTGGACTGTATAGGTGGGCAAAAGGGAAAATTTAAGAGAAACTTACAGGGCCAAAGGGATGAGCTAACTGTAGCCCTGAAAAATTGTGTGAGCTGAGTCATTTGCATACCGGTGGCTGAGCGAGCAGCCTCTAACCTGCCTCAGCATGGGGTAAAAAGAGCACAAGTGATCTCAACTCATCAGAGAAAGAATAAACATCTTATAAAGAACAGCCTCCTATTGAGTTCACTCCTAGCACTGAATAACCACTTTCAACCACTCAAATATTCTTTCCAGTGAAAATATTTACCTCAAGGAATAAATAACCTTAAATGAGAAATAAACATTCAGGCAATTTGAGATTTTTATTGTGAAAATAGCTATTTTGACATGGTATCCAGTTTCTCATTTATTAGAATAAGTTCTTTACAACATTGATCATCATTACCACTTCTGGGTATTTATACATAATCTCTGAGTAAAATATATTCACACTAGGCATGACTAGAGTACTTAAATAATGACCAACATTGCTTATTTTAAGATGTTTACTTTACAACAAAACTATAGTATTTGTATACCAGTACAGATGTTTAAAATATTTACCAAAGATAGGCTTGGTGGAACAAAACCAGTATGTGTACACAGATATTTCTTAATCTTCTTTGCTATCAATCTTCTAGAAAGCCAAAGTTACATTACAAACACCTCAAATTTCCATTTCAAGATGAATAGAAAAATGGAAACATGTTATTTCCTATTATACAGACTAAAACATCGAGTCAAAAGCAGAATAAAGCTCATCTTTATGCAATTAACATAAAAGCCTGGGTATAGCCTTCCTTCTCTGAGAAAGAGACACCAGCACTGCAAGAGAAATAGCCTGCAGTCCAAAGAACGAGTGGTCAGCACAACCCTCTCTATAGTGCGTGACTTGCTGAGGACTGATGCAAACTCTCGCAAGTCATTTTTCTTGATTTCCAAGAATCTGGGATACGTAAAGTAAATGATGCAAAGGCATTTCTCTGAATCTGCATGAGGAAAACTAAAGAATCAGAACAAAGATCCAACCGCTTTTCACATGGCTAGATGTTCACCATTACACAACTCAAGACCAAAGGCAAGCTTTCTATCAAATATATATCCAAAGTGTGAAGCTCCACATATGCAACCGTACACACTGCAGAGAAGAAACAAAGAGCATCCTTACACCTGATTAGTGATCCCGTTTTATACTTTGAAATGAAATCAAATAAACTTAGTCCTCTGAAATTTGGAGGCCTAGTGATGTTTAAATTTTTTAGGACATAGAAACCACTAGAATTTAATGAAAACTGTAAACCCTCATCCTAGAAAATCTACACACAAACATACAATCCTTGTTTAGAACGTGGCTTCAGTACTAGAATAGAGCTTGAAAACATTAAATTTCTTTTGCTTTGTCATTGAAGCAACTGTATAAACTTTCTACAACAGTGTGTGTCTATATGCACATATATATATGTATGAATATTTATATAGGTATAAAATAAGCAGCTTGTGACTTTAATGCTATGAATCCCATCACCTTTTTGGCACTTTTAAAGCATAGCCAAAAATGATTTGGAAATTTGTTCTGGAATTCCAAGTTGGCTCCCTCTATTCGGAGACGCCTAAGAGCTGCTGAGTTCTCTGGAGCCACCAGGTCATGCCCCTGTACAGCTGTTCCAAGCCAGCTGGGATTCTAGAGAAAGGGGCTGGGGCCTGGGGCTGACCAGGGGCCTCACACGTGCCTAAGTAACCCAACTGTTTAAACCCACGCCCCTCCCACCAACTGCAGGGTGCAAGGAAGTCCTAACCTATCTTCCCATTTTTTTATCATCACTCACTAGAGGGGCACCTGACAACAGCAAACCTTTGCAATTAGCACCAACAAGCAAAAACACTCCAGGGCAGCATTTCCCTAAGTATATTCCTCAGAATACAAATCCCAGAAGATACCTACTTTAAAAAAAACAAAAACAAAAAAAACCCCAAAACCAAATACAATAAATCAGGGAAATAGTGTATACAATACAGGCCCTTCTCAGAGAGTGAAACCACACAAAGGTTCAGAAAAGCCTATAGTAACTTTTTTTTTTTTTTAAGATTTTATTTATCCGACAGTGAGAGACACAGCGAGAGAGGGACCACAAGCAGGGGGAGCAGGAGAGGGAGAAGCAGGCTCTTCGCAGAGCAGGGAGCCCGACGCGGGGCTCGATCCCAGGACCCTGGGATCATGACCTGAGCCGAAGGCAAGCCGCTCAACGACTGAGCCACCCAGGCGCCCCAGCCTATAGTAACTTAACCGAGCATTTCCCAAACTCATTTGGCCATAGAACCCTCTATTCACATAACAATACAATCTGCCAAACACACCTCCTTTCCAAGGAACTAAAAGATGGTTTTTAAAAAATCTTACAGTATAATTTCAAATTAATAAAATCAGGATACAAAGACTTGTTTTCCTGTCATTTTTTTTTTAAAGAAACTACTTTGTTTTGCTAAGAATGTTGCTCTCGCAACATTCCCCCAGCTCAAAGTTACCCTTTCTTATATCATTATTCAAGAATGTTAATTCTCATTAGTAATCATGGGCCTCCTCATCTGGAACAAATAATTTCTGTATGCTTTTTGATTCTGAGAATACCTCTCCACTTCAATCGCTGTGGTTTTAAGTCTAGGGCTGGTAACCTGGGCTTCTGGCAAACACAACATCCCAACAAGATTTGGGGCTTCCTAGCAAACCCTAACTATATCCCAACAGGGGCTAAAATATTTTGCAAGCCCTTAAAAAAACCCAAAACTTCATCTTTACTCTGTGAAAATCAGCCCTTTGAAGATCTAATGACACTTCAGTTAAACCTTTGAGGGTAAGAGGATTACAAACCTTTAGTTCATGTAATTAACAACAAATTTCTTAATATTCTATTCAGGAAATATGAAAACATTGAAGAGCAAATGTAAATTCCACAGAGCTGGACAAGAAAAAAAAGGCAAAAGATAATTCTTAATGCCAACAACATATACAAAAGACCATAATCAAAACCCAAATTATACTCAGTGGCTCTGCTCAGGATTTCAATTATATAAATAACCAAACCAAGACAAAGTCAATTACTAAATCCCTATGAGCTTAGAACAAAAAACAGACACATGCTGCACTTTCTTCATTAAACCAGTCCTAGCGTACGTCTTGTCACCCTGTATAATTAGAGAGAACAAGGCAAAGCAAAGAACTACCACCACATGAAGACACAGAAGAACTTTTTTTAACGTATTTTATCCTAAAAAGTAAACCCAGGTACCATTGGAAGAAGATACTACTGCAAATATAAAATCATAGGATATTTTATAAGGAAATGGAGTTCTTGGTTTTAGGTTGTTGTTTTTTCTTTTCTGGTAAGGCAAAACAAATCTTTAGATAATCATTCATTACAAACCTGAGGTGTTCTTTAAACGTAAGGAAGTAAATTATATTTAATTTATATTATGTATTTGGAATTGAATACTAAATACTATGAATCATTAGATTTAAATCAGTTTATGTAGATAATAAATTTATTTTTTAAAACCCTTTTATTTTGAAATATAGACTCACAAGAAGTTCCAAAAATCATACAGAGACTGTATATCTATCACTCAGCTTCTTGTCTTTAAGTATTTATATTTTGGTTTTAAAGGGTTAACACTTTTGACAGTTTATGGAAAACTGTCAAAAAATCTAATAGGCCTGATGAATGTATATTCTTGGAAGAGGCTCTAGGAAAACATACTGCTGACTTCAAAAACCATTTTTATCACATGAAGGCAGCTTAAAAAATTGGTTTTCTGAGATTCTATCACTGTTACCAATTTCTGCCTCTTTTGACGTCTAGTTTTTATAGACTTCTGAAAATTGTAACTTAGATGTGATTGAAATAAGCTCCCTTATTCCTTCATGTTAATAAATCTAGCAATATTAAATGAATGGAAATTGCAAATGCAAATCAAAATGCTTTGGATTTATTGTAAAAATCTTGAATTCTCTAGTACCCCCAAAATAATACAAACATACCTACGGTGAAATTTGTCAGTGCCAATCTTTGTAGGGGAAAAAAAACCACTGTGAAGGAATGACTCTCCTCAATGCTCTTTACAGTGTCTTTAGTGTTCAAAGAAATGGTCAGTCTTATGGATGACTGATGGCAGTTTGTTGATGGAGGATCTTTATCTTATGGGAATTATCTGACCGATTTTCTAATCTTATACTAGCAACAAATATAAACACAAACACAGTCCCTTTGGTCATATTCCACCATCACGTCCTAAAGAAAGTAGCTCACAGTATTTTGTTAAACACTGTGGACCATTTATCTCAGAAACTCAAACTTTACCCAAAGCATATCCTGACAGGCTGATCACAAGCTCACTGCCCAATCTGGAAAGTTGTTCCTTTCTAAGAGCTTCCTAGCTGTGTGTCATCCCTGGAGTGCTTTAAGCTCAGTTATAGTTTCCTGGCATCTTGTTGGCTTATCCCAAAAATGCTCAACTAAGTAGCCCAACGTATAAACACTCACTTTACCTAAATCACATTTTGCATCTTAGGAAAGGTAGTCTGGAAACATCCTAGCGTCTGTAGTGCAAGGCTAAAGGCAATTCAAAGCAGGAATGACCAAAAGGAAGGAAGTCATATTTACAGCTGTCTTTTCTACTAAAAAATGACAAATCTGTTATTCTAAAATGCTATCTTTTGATTAAACTTTCAACACGTGAAACGTTTACAGTACACTTACTGGCTGAATTCTGTGTCATAAGAACACGATCTCTACATTCTTATAAAAATTTAAACACATTTTCCTTAGCATGGATATTAGTCATTTTATTGACAGAAAACTTTACATAAGCCAGTATTATTTTTGTGCCCATGGAGAAACCTGGGAGTTAAATTTACCGTTTGATTTTAGAATCTGTTAGGGTTGGTATAGCTCTTTCTCCCCCATTTTTTATTTTTCCCAAAACTAATTTTAATTGTCCTGTTTTATTTATGTTTGACAATTTTAAACCACTTCAAATCCTTCTTGGAAGGCTTAATATAAGTCATAATTGAAAATGACCAACCCTAACTAAAGCATAAACAGATGTCTGATTAATGTGTTGACCACCCTTCTCCAATATATATCAAACCCAGAGGACGATAAAGTCCTATGGTCATGATTTTCAGTATAGAATATTCATACAGATTTTGGATTGCTGGAATCTAATAGGATATTAATATAAAACACACAAACCCACTGCAGACATAATGTGAAACTCATTAGTTACTTTCCCTAAATACATCCAAACAGATGAACAAGATTTTGAAGACTACCTTGTTTCTCATTTAATTAAAACTTCCAAGAAAAAATATTTACAATGACTTAAAGACTCCTGCATCCACAGCTACCTAAATACAGAACAAATTGGGAGGATTTAGGTCAAACACAGCTGAGCTCCACTGAGCTCAAATTAGGTGAGTCTCTTGACTACAAAGCTGTTTTCTTAACATGGGGGTTTCTGCACGACGTGATAAGATTTGCTGAGCACCATAGTAATCTTTTGAGACACTAATCAAAAACATGATCCTATATTTTAAAAACCCCAGAAGTGGTTTTAGGACAACAGAAGCACCTCAGCCACTAAAATTAGAGAGATTCTGTTTTAAGTAAAATCACCTGCACAGCAAATCCTTTAACAGGTCGGCAACCAATAAATAGAAAATATTCTTTAAAAACTACCACTATTTCTGAATATTCCATTAGATCCTTAAACTGTAGTTAAACTATATGGAAAATAATAAGTTGCCATAAAGCTTTTGACTATGTGACAGTCTTCTTAAGAAAGAACACTGGTCCAAGCATGATGAACTTGGTCCAGGCACATAGTAGGTATTTCTATTACTGTAGCCGAGTAGTGTCTGACAATTGGGCAAATTTCAGTAAGACTTTACAGCCTGGCATAATAAGTGATGAACAACATACTCAGTTCTCCTGAAATTAATCCAAGAAAGAGAGGACTAGAGTTAAAAATGTAATACAAATACATAGGTCTAAAGCTGCCATTGGTCCGATAAACTAAGAGTCCTTGCTAGCCTTATATTGAACACATCAGCAAATACCAATGTTCTAGTGAAGTGCATATAGTCAGATGAATATTATATGTAACCACCTTTGATACATATATATATCTCAGACATATATATATATATAGTACTGATCCTCCAAAAGATTACACTTCTGAGAGCATAATTAAGCACACTCCTCGTTGCTGTTTAAATACAGGCTTTTCTACTGAAGTAAATAGAATACTAAAATATTACATTTTTCCTAATGTCTAAAATTGGCATCAAATTTCTAAACAGAAGAAAAAAAGCCTCAAAGAGCCACATATTAGATATTCAAACTGTTCTAAGAAAACTAAATAAATTAACTTGAATAAATAAGAGTGCACATTCAGAACAGAATTGTAGCTTTTGGTCAGCAACATGTGAACTAAAGGCAAAAATCTGCCGAGATTAAGGCAGGGTTCTTTGTTTTTTTGTTTTTTTCTTTTAAATATACAGTACAATGTGGTTTTTTACCCCCAAGTTCATTTAGCATTCACTCTGATGTGATCTAAAGTGCCCTGCCAAGCTAAAATACAAGCTTGCTAATTAAGAGAACCTAGATGTCATAGAAAGTTTCTTTTTAGAGCCTTCCTTATACCTACTAATGGCGTTTTCTTTTTGCCTTCACACACGTAGTGTAAGAGATGACTGCAACAATCATGACTTCGGACACAAAGCGTGATGACTGTCAGGGTGATAGCCGTTGTAAGGAATTACTTTCTTCTTCTGCTGGAGTCAATTTAAGTGTTGGCAGTTTCCGGGGAGGAAGTTGAGGGCTTTGGCGAAGATTGTCATCCATCTGTGGAATGTACAAAAGGTACATTTGACGGTGGTCTCCCCGTTCAAACTACAGCCTAGAAGAGTAAAGAACCCTGTGGTTCCAGGACTGCTCGAGAAACCTTTTTCTCACAAGTAATCTCTCGATTGTTGAACTCGAAATGTTGTACCTCAAATACCAGCTAACTCAGTATATGTATAAAAGCAATACTGCTCATCTTTGATGACTTCACAAATTATTGTAATTCCATAAAATGAATATTCTACTGAACTCAACCAGATCACAACTTGATTTAAGAGGTCTTCCAATAGTAAGTGTAAAAGCAATACTTCTGACACACTGAGCTCCCCAGTGTACAAATTATGTTCATGTACAATACCTCTTTTGATCTTCCCAACACGATTGTGAAGGCAAAATGGAAGATGACCATTCCCTATCTTACATATTAGCAAAACGGAGCTCAGCACGGTTAAGAAATTTGCATTAGGTTGCAAAGCTAGTATCATGAGTTGAAATTAGAGCCCGGGTCTTCTTATTCCAATACTATTGTCCTTTCAATTAGACCTCAGTGCCTCAGTGAAAATGACCTTCACTCCCCTCAGGAGGACATTAGCATCCCTGGAAACTCTAGAAGAGGGATTATTTAGAACCCGAGTCAGACCTTAGGAAGCTACCTTTAAGCAGGGGCGCCACAAATAGAGTGCAAGGTTCAGAGCCTGGTGTTGAGCTCTCTGTCAGCTCAACTTCAGGAGACTGGAAAGCAGCCACCGCCAAGGATACCAAACCAACAGCATATAGCATCTGATTACCCACTTTAAAAGTAGACTTTTCTAGAGTTTTGAGCATGTACAGAGCAAAACTCTCTCTTATCTTCTCCAGATGCTCCTATATAGCAGAGAGGAAATGTCTCAGCAGAGGTACATGCAACTTACAGGAAAACAAAGAGAATATAAGATTAACTTTTAATTTGCCAATGGAAAAAAGTATTCCCAGTGAACAACTTGAATCAGTTGTGTTGTCATGCTTTTTTCTTGCAAGAACTAAGTTCCTCAAATATTACTCTTTCTTTTTTTAAGCTCTAGATTTTCTGTCCAAATGGTGAACTGTAGTAGCCAATAGGATTTGTTGCTCTAACATCTTATAGCCAACAGTGAACCATACTGAAGAGCAGATATGAAACAGGGGTGGAAAGGAGAGTGCCCGATTTAGAGTTAGGGAACCTTCATATACTGATGATGACCCAAGATGGAAGTGTACAGAGTGGTCACAGGGCCTCTTGGGTCCCCTTTCTGCACAGGCAGGTATCTCGTGGTTCCCTCTACATGGCTGTCATGAAATTGCCACGCAGAGAAAATGAAAACTCTACTGGATGGCCCTCATCTAGCGGTTAAGTGTCTAAAACAATCCGAATAATCTTTCCACTACCTACACTTAACACTCAATATATTTCCTCTCAAGGGATTGACTGAGTTGGGCTAAGAAGATAAACTTGGCATGCAGTCAGCCCACCTAAACTTTAGTACTGGTCTTTTACAGCTTTACTGCTCAGTCCTACTCACTTTTCATGTTCTAACAATACATGAAATATTATAACAAGAAACAGAAGGGTCATTCCAGAGAGTGGCAGAGGTTTCTGGCTACTAATACTACTAGTACTGGATTCAGAATTCCATGTATTTCCTTCATTTGCAACTGACTAACTGCAGAGCCCATGCTGGAATCCAATCTCCAGGGTTCAAATCCCCTCTCTGCCTCTAGCCCCCTGAATGACCCTGGGTAGGGGACGTACACTACTCTTGAAGCTTCAGTATCCTCATCTGTAAAACAGGGCTGAGAGAGTAGCTGTGCACACAGAGCTATTGTGAGGATTCAATGAGACAACTCATAAAGCTCACACAACTCGGTGCCGGTTACAGAGACCTCAGAAACTGCGAACCAGTATTATTAGGCCACAGTGCCTCATTAGTTAGTAAAAGAATAAAGTATCATTCACTGGTATAAGAAAAAAAGCAAGTTTATCAGACACTTGGTGGAAAAATGCCTAACTCTCTTGTATTTTTTTTCAATTAGAATCACCTTTAAAATTTCCGTTACTGGCTATCTCCCCTACTACTTCCTCAATATCTCTCTCTCATCAAATAAGCAACCCCAAAGTGGCAAAATACCCCCACTGATGAAAACCCATAGGCAACATTTAGAACAGAGAAGGAAAGGAAGGAGAAAAAATAACACAGTTTAAGTAGAAGAAAGAAAAAGACATCATAGTGCTAATAAGAAAGGACAAGCACAGGTACTTGTGATCTCAAGACATTATTAACCTTCAGAGACAGAAGAGACAAGTAAGAAGTGTTTTGGTTTTGTCTTCTTTTTTTAAGGCCAGACTTTTGGGTCTCCTAATTTGAAAAATTACTACTTATGTGGTAAAAGTAAACCCAATACCACTATCAAAGTAATCAGGCCACTACTGGCTTTGAAACACTATATTATGTACAACTTTAATAAATGTATATTTGAGCAGCTTAATGAAAAAATAAACTCTTAAAAAAAGCTAAGAGGGTAAAGTTAATGCATATTAACTTTACAATTAAAGGTATAATATTAATTTCAGAAAGGAAAATACTAAACTACTATAAAATAATGACTGAAATAAACTTGACCTTTTCAATCAAGTTGGATTCCTTATTTACAAGTTGGGTGAGTTTCTGCAGATTTGCGTCTACTGTTTCTTGTCCAGCAGGAGAGATGCCTAAGAAGCCAGGACAGAAATCAGAAAGACAGAAAATTTTGAAAGTCTTTAAAGCTGTTTAGACTGAAAGAATTTTGAGTCTATCCACCCTCCCAAGTACGCCACCCACCAAAAATAAATAAATAAAACCAGGCAAAGTGAAAAACCATTATGGGTTCAAAGGCAAAGTTAAGAGGGATGGTAATGCTCCAAAACTAAAACCCTAAACCAAAAGATTAAATTTGTCTATTAAGCAGACAGCCAAGTGTTACACAGTTAGCCAAAGTAATTAGTAAATGAGCACAGCAGTCCTCATTTCCTTCTCCAATTAGAGTTGTTCCTTCTCCCCACTCATACCAAATAGGCCCTTAGTCACAACAACTGGGATAGCTTTCTAAGGCAGCGACTCCCAAACAGCTATCAACCAGGCATCAACAGTATTTGGAGGGACTTAAAAAATACAGATTCCTGGGCTCCATCCCTATGAGATTCTAATTCAGTAAATCAGAAATAGGAGCCAAGATTCTGTATTCGTCCTCTAGCCAGGCTTGCTAATCACTGTTCCAGAGTAACAAGGTTGAAAGTTACTTAGTTTCATGACTCTCAAACTGCTAACCCCTCTCTCTCTCTAAAACACATAACCCACCCTGAAAAATAAACTGTCCCTAAACCAGTTATCCTTGTAACTTCTGTCTGTTAAAAGGACAATTTCTGCCAACTCTCCCAATACAGCTTTCGTATCCCGATCACTAAAGCACAAGGCCCCACACTCCCAAGGAATCATATCCTAAGTAACGGGTACCCTCTATTTACAATACCTCCAGTCTGATGCAATCAGTTTTCAAGTAGTGGAATCATGGGAGTGTACCTCACCCAAATCAATCTGCTGCTGATTTCTGTTCATGCAGGAAAATGCTAGAAGCAACATTTAAAATAATTGCCCATTTGCATTAGGATAAATGCTATCTTTCAACAGGGACTCAATAAATACCTGTGGTTAACTTTTAGAAGAAAATGATCCACTTTAGAGGGGCAATATTTAAAGAAGAACAAGAGGAAAGAAATGTATAAAATCTAGAAGAATAGACCAAAGGCAAATATCTATTTCTCTGTTTAAAGTATAACACATGGGAATAAATTTGGAAAAATGCAACTGTTTCAAGTGCTATAACTCAACATTTAAAGATAATACACACACGTATTCAATAAGTCATTAATTTTGCTTCTACGTCCATATGAGAATATGCAGATATTCTAGGCAAACACAGATTAGCTGAAGAGAAGCCACTTTACCTCCAAGACTAAGCCTAAAATAACTGTGCAGGATGTCGTCACAGAAGCGGCACAGGTTGGAGAGCCGTTGCAAATGTCCTTGTAACTGACCTTTAGGAAAGCGTACTTTATAAAGGGGCGCGAGGAAACCAAACACATATGCATCCAAGGTAGACGGCCTAAAAATAAATTAAGGATTTTTTAAAAACACATAAGGAAATATTAACTTGGGATTATGTTAAAAATATTTTTTCTCAAATACGTTTGCCAATTCTGGAGTATACGATATAGCCTTTTAAAAGATCTACTACACATTTTAGCTTATAAAAAGGATGTAATGAAGGTTTTGTTCAGTAGTTCTTTTTAATATTCTAACCATTTATTTTATTTAGAAGAAAAGTTATAAATTAAAGATGCATTTTTACTCACAAGTGTTACATACAAATAGGAGACAGGGTGGGAATAGCCTTAGATATTTTAAATTCACAGAGATAGCACACTGAGTCCATGTTTGATTACCATGGATAGAAAAAGTTTACTAGAGTAATCCATTAAATCTTTTTTTAAAGTAAAAAACTCATAAGGGGGGGCAAGAGGACTTGCTTTAGGTAACTGTTCATTGACTATATGCATACAAAACATCAAAATGATTTGTAAGGGAATGCACTCACGTATCTCCAAAGAAAAACTGAGATGTTCCCAATCTGTTCGACAGAAGATTTAGGCACTCCTTGGCATCTCTGTATATCTAATAAGGATGAAATTACAACTCAAAAGTAGGAAGGATGCTCTAGAACTCCTTTTAGGCAGGCATTTAGGTATGTTCATCTCTGCTGTCTCTCTTGTCCCTCCTCTGGAGGGCCCTTGCTTTGAAAGTAATCCCAACCATACCTGAGCTTCCACTTCTCGGAGGTGGTAAAGGGGAGGCTCTCCTCTGGTCAGAAGAATTCTATTTAGTGCTCCCTTAGACATCCTTCCAGGCAGGATCAAACTCAAGGGAAAAGGAATTCGTGAAGCAAACCACGGCCTTGTCACACTAAAGTAATTGTCACTCTCAACCCAGAATGTGTGAAGCTGCAAAACAAACAAAAACAACTAAAAACCAAACCAAACAAAACAAAAACAAACAAAAAAACAAAAAAAATCAAACCCACCACAAGCATGTTCTTTTATTAAAAGAAAGGTCATCCAATCAATGTGAAAGTTTTTTGATAAATATCTTTGTATAAAGTGGCTTCATACAACTTTCCCAATTAGAACGACTCAAGGATACAACAAGATTTTAAATACATGAATTTGTTGATTGCTATATACCAGGCACCCAAAACAAGGCCTGGCACATATGCACTCAATGAATATTTACTGAATGAATGAATTATAGTTAGCTAAATTCTATACATGGGAGCAACAAACTCCATCTTCCATAAATAATTTTTATTTCCAAAATGACATTATCTTTCACTTCATTGTTTCATGTCTTAGTTGAATGTCTAACAATCCAGTTTCACAGTAACACAAAAGAATCAAGATTAATACATAAATGAAATTTCCTCTCTTAAGCCTTTTTCATTATGTTCCTTATAAACAGACTGAAGTATATTTTTTGTAGGTCACTATAATACCAATGCTCACCACTGCAGGAAGAAGCTTCTCTTCGATGAGAGCAATGTAAGCCAGTGTATCTGCCCCCTGTTTTGCTGAGAGCTCATAATCAGCATTATATTTCTATTAAAAAATATAAAACCAAGAAACTTGAGAAGTCAAGGGCATCCCAAAACAGTGAGGCTAAAGATTCCTATTCTTCCTCAAAAATGGCAAATATGATATTAAAAAGCAGAACGATACATACAAATTCAGTGACAAATGCTGCTTAATGCAAATAAAGCTCTTAGCACAACATCGCACACACAGTAAGGTCAATAAATATTGTGCTCTTTTTGTTAACTGCTATTATTCAGTGATTGTTTATGAGCTAGTTTAGTTTAGTGCATGGCATATAGTACAAACTTAATAAACAGAAGTTACTATTTTTAACAATAAGGAAGAAGTTCTAATTGGTTACATTTTTCCCCATGAGAAAAGAAAGAAAAACCCCCAATTTAAAACAGTTCTAAATTTTGTTGACAGAGGACTTATTTTTTTAAGAAAAGTATTGGCAAAACCAATTATAACTTTGCTTTTATAAAAATCTTTACATGTTTAAATATTCTGGATACATTATACAAATCTTTACATGCTCACACATTTTAGATACATTACTTCATGAAACATGTAATTGCAACTCTCCAGTTAAAGTGTTTTTTAAAAATAAAATAGTTGCTAGTTGGTGGGAACTCAGATGTCATCTGCAGCAGAAAGTGTGTAGCAGCTTTGTGACTAAATTGACAATCATATCAATAAGCATAAGAGTGAAGATGGCTTCGTTGAATCTGCTTATGTCTAAACTTCAATCAAATCCAAAAAAATACATGAAAGTATAAATTGAGTATACCTCATTATATGACTTTCAAATCACAATACAACTCATGAGTCAGAGTAGTAATTCTCAAGTCTAGTTTTATATCAAACCTGAGGTATCTCCAATTATCTGATTTGGTTTAAAAAAAATTAAAAACCAAACTTTACAATGTTTTTGTTTCTGTTGTTTTTAAGTAACATGCAGGGAACATGTTAAAAAGGAAGCACCCACCTGTTTTCTTAAAAAGTTTAGTATTTTTGCAGGCTGAGAAACGATGTTGTCTTCAGTTGTCAAAATTGGTACATCTCCTATAATCAAAAACAGTTTACATACTAGGAAACGTTTCTATTTCCTCTGAAGAGATTCCGATCCCCTAAAAACTATACCAATTGCACATTTGGAGGGGGAAAATGAGTTAAGCTCATCTTAGCTTTTTGCAATTTCACAAAGCAGTTCTGGAGAACATTGTCATTTCTCGTAATTTCCATCGATCTGGCTTGTATTTTAAAGTATTACTCATAATGATCAAACTATAAGCAACATACAGCCAAGGTCATGGTAAGAAGAAACTAAAATCCCAAGGTACTCCATGGCTATATACCTCACAGCTTTAAATTCGGGGGGGGGGGGGTCACTTAAAAAAAGAGCAGAAAGGTGTATTAAATGTTTACACTGTACCTCTTGAACCTCTCCAGGTGTTATCTATGACTTTGACTTTCAAGGGTGCACCAGAAAATTTGGCGTAAGCCTGAAACAAAGTTTGCAATAAAACACTCAGACTGAGTACGTAGTGCAAATCTGCAGAGCAGCTTTACTTTACAGCCTGGTCCCCCGAAAGCAGAAACGCCTGACACGCGGGCTGTGTCCCTCTCCGGCTGTCTAGCCGAGGACCCGCGCGCCAGATACCCATCTTTCGGGGACTTTGTTTCCCCAAAGGTCTGGGGGATGCAGAGCGGGGCGTGCGCGCACCCAGCTTTGGCTTTTCATTCCACCGCCCAAAAAGCTCTGCAAGGCTGAGAAGACTCGGAGCCCAGCGGGAAAGCCTTGACTCTCCCGCCAGACCTCGGCGGGGTCACAGGCCAGGCTGTAACTCCAGGAGAAGGAACCCAGTGCGGTGCAGCGAGAAGCGCCCCGGCCACTCTGGGCCCTGCAGCGCCGCAGGGAACCGCGGCGAGCGGCTGTAACCAGGCCCAGCCAGCCTCGCGCCTCTGGCCCCGCCCATCTTTTCTGCGCCCTGGCCCGCGGGGCGGCCTCACCATCACCACCAGGGACTCGCTGTGCACCGATGGGAGCCCCCAGCCACCTCCCCAGCAACTGAGTTCCAAGGGGGCCGCCATCTTGCCGGGGCCGACCTTTGCTACACCGGAAGTACTTAACTGCCCAATTTCCGGCACATTGAAACACGGGGCGGGGCGAGGGGGAGGGAAGAGTACCTTTGGACTGTGAAGAGATGCGGCAAGGATCAGTGGAGGGGTTAAAAGCCCACTTACCTTGGCTAATCGAATTTAATTTAAAAAAATAATAAAATAAGTAAAAAATAAAAGCCCACTTAGAATCAGCCTGGCCTAATCGTTAAGAGTCCTGGCCCTTAAGATACATCCTCCAGGTAGTCCTTAAATATTTATTGGATGCCTAGTGTCCTCCAAACCCTTTGAACGTTACTACCTTGGGCCTAAATTAGCCCATGTGTAAAATAGGCAGGATTATTGTGTTTGAAATTATGACACAGGGAGAAATAACTTGACATACAATAGGCACTCAATAATTGTTCAACCCCTTACCCCATATATTTGGCTTTTGCTTCTTTCCACTCTCAATCTTATGTCACCCTCATGTTCACTTGCTCCACTCTCCTTAAAGGTAACCCTATTACTGAAATTTGTCAAATGAATTCCACCTTTCTTCAGTCTGGAATATCTCCTTTCCCTTCCACTGCTCCCTCAAAAGTGAGCTTAACTGCCACCTTCTCTGGGATGATTTTACAAAGTTAGGAACTTCAGGGTTCCTGCAGACCCTTGTACACACTTAAATTGTAGCTTCTATTCCATACAGACTTTTTGCCTTTCGCTGTACTGAAAACTCTCTGAAGACAGAACAGGGCTGGCTTTGTAGATGTGAAACCTGTGTAGTCACACAGGGCCCTGTGCATAGAAGGGCTCAGAATTGCCTTAATGTTCTGCTGCCATTGTCTTGAAATTCTTAACTTTTGAACAAGGGGGCTTCCCTTTTTTTTTTCTACTAGGCCCTACATATTATACAGCCAGCCAATCTGTGGGCATGAACCAAATGTTTTTGGACATCACACTGACAGTTTCTCAGAGAAACTGTTCTCAGAGAAACTGTCAAGGAGGGAAAATAGGCCTTCAAAATGCCACGATCTTATCATGCTTACAGGGTCCTGGAGTTAGGACTTGGGTGCTGGGTCCTTCTAGAACGTACAACAGTCTTTCTGGGATTTCTCTGAGTTCTTTCCTTAACTCTGCCGCACTGAGGTAGTTGGGTCCCCTTAAACAACTGTAAGCTCAAAAGAAACCTCTGCAAATTTTCATAAAATTACAATTTAACAAAGAATTGATAGGCATTCCCTAGGATTAGATGGTTTGTATAGCCATCTAAATTACAACATTAATCTGCCAAAGCTTTTTTTTTTCATGTTCCAAAGGCAAGAGTTCTCAGAAATGGGAAGGATAAAGTATATCAAAGGTGGGAATCCATTGATAATACTTTATAAATGAAAAATGCTTAATATATGTACCATTGAAGCCAAATATGAAAACATCCATTGAGCAACTACTGTATGCAAGACACCGTAAGGCTCTGGGAGAATATAGAGATAAATAAGACCTGAACTCTATCCTCAGGAGTTTATAGTCTACCAAGGAAACATATAACTAAGTGTAACAAGTCAGATTATCATGGGTAAAGTTAGAGACATAAATAAAATACTATGGAAGCATAAATCAGGAATGATGCATCCTCTCTAGGATCAGCAGAGGCTGTCTGTTCAGGCTTCAGTGTAAAGAAAGTAATTCAACTTTCAAATTCAAGAAATAGGACCTCCCTGTTTTGAGGGCTAAAATCCTAAGCCATAAAGCTCAGAGTCCATATACTGCAATCAGGCATTTAAAGTAATCATATACAGCTTGGGGCACCTGGGTGGCTCAGTCAGTTAAGCATCCGACTCTTGATTTTGGCTCAGGTCATGATCTCAGGGTGATGAGATTGAGTCCCACATCAAGCCCCACATGGGGCTCTGCGCTCAGCACAGTCTGCTTGTCCCTCTCCCTCTGCTTTCCCCCCTGCTCGCTCACTTTCTCTCAAATAAATAAAACCTTTAAAATAATTATACACAGAGAAAGTGGATTACCTGAGTCTTGTTTGCAGGGTGGAGGGGGGTGGTTATTTTTTGTGGACACATAATATAATTAGTCAGTTCAGCCTTCTCCCTTATTGCTGCTGTTAAATATGACAATTTCATTTGCATTAAAGGGAAATGAAATCTCTCCTCTTAGCATTGAATTGAGACAGAAAATAGGCTATTGCTTCTGATGAGAGAATCCTTAGACACAGGTTTATTTGTGTCTATTTAATAACAATCTTTTATTGGTGCAATTCCTCCTGAGAGTCTGTATTTGCTAGATTGAATTTTAAAATCCTAGCACAGCTGATTGCACAACCAGGCTGAATGTTGTTCCAGAGAACCACACAGAAAGTTGAAACCTTCAGAAATTATGCCTGGTATGGATAGTTGGCCCCTGTGCCTTTTTTCTGGCTGCTAAAGTGTGTTGTTCAGAGTTCATCAAAATCATAATTTCAGATTCCTACCAGGAAGCATATTATCTGCAAAACATTCACATATGTGTGGGATGACTTGAATCACAGCTTTATAATGAGTATTCCAGACAATATTTTCTCTTAAAAAGAAATATTATTTTTCAAGAGATGGACATCAAAAATGGCCTCATCTAGTGATAATCATGTGAACTCAGGGGACCTGACCTTGGCATCAATTTCTATCCCTCCTATGTTTCCTAACTTGAAAGCCATGGTGCAAGTTCTATTAGGATCTTTTTGTCTGGGTGATTAAGATATCTGTGAAATGGTACTGTCAACAAAGATGAAAGGTTTGTGACAAGTGATTGTGCGGTATGATAATGTGTAAGAAAGTTGAACTAAAGATGCTTGAATGTCCCTTTCAACTCTAAACTTCTATAATTTTGTTCCGTGTTCAGATGTAAAATCCTCGGGGAGGAAAAGCAAACACTGAATAGAAGTCAGAAAAGGTGGTTTCTGAGTTTGCCTCTAATTAACCATGAGACCTTGAGCCAATCATTTTACCTTTATGTCTCAACTCATTCACTTATGAAGTGAGGGTTCTTTTAGCTCTGCAATACTATCATGCTATGTGTAATAAGCATTTAATAATAGTTAACATTCACGGAGCAATTTCTACATGTCAAAAACTGTCTTGGGACGCCTGGGTGGCTCAGTCGGTTAAGCATCTGCCTTCAGCTCAGGTCATGATCTCAGGGTCCTGGGATCAAGTTCCACATTGGGCTCCCTGCTCAGCGAGGAGCCTGCTTCTCCTTCTGCCTGCCACTCCCCCTGCTTGTGCTTCCTCTCTCTCTCCCTATTAAATAAACAAAATCTTAAAAAAAACACACAAAAAACTGTCTTATGTATCTGACATAACTCATTTGATCTTCATAATGACTCCATTAGGTAGGTACTGTTATGTTCCCCTGTTTTCAGGGAGGGAAATCAAGGCACAAAGATGTTAATTAATCTTCCCAAGCTCACCTAGCCAATAGATGATAGAAGCAGGATTTGAACCCAGGCCGTCTGGGCTTGTACTCTTAACCACTATGTCATACTGCTGGTAGCTTTCTAAGTAGTCCATTAAAAATCCTAGTTTCATTCAAAGTGAAGTTATCAATGCCATGATAGTACTATCATGACCTGTTCCAATAATATTTATTTAGTATTAAGGCATTAAATAAGTTCCTTAAGCAACTTCTGTCTGCCCAGCACACACTCCTGGGCTATCAGATAATAAAAACTTAGGTTCATTGTTCATGATTTCAGAGAGATAGTTGACAAGGCCTACATATTTGAGGTAACTAGAGGTAATTAGGGGTACCATCTTGTCAAGAAACCCCAAGTCTAATGTAGTTTTAGACAAAGGACCTTAATGTACTGCACTGTTTGGCAAAGGTCTAATGGAAGAGGTAGGACGTTAGCTGACCTTGCAGGAAGGCTGGGTGAGTACATTGGATTTAGATTGGCAAAGGGAAGGGATTCCACATGGGTTATGCTACATTAGTTAAGTCATAGAGATGGGAATGAATGTGGCAAAGAATCCTAAATAAATGGATGCTGAATTTGATAATAAGCTGGAGACTGATAAGGAAGACTGTTGATTGACCAACTTGAGAACCAGATTTGGTGATATTGGAAGGCATGGAGATATATAGTTTTGAGAAGGTAAAAAAGAAGAGTAGAAGTCTAAATACAATATCAACAGATGCACATAGACAGGAATGGGAGGTACATGGACACCATAGGAAGAAGGGTTTTACGAGCCCATCAATTGTATTAAATGAAACAAAATGTTGTGGAAAATGAAGTGAGGAGATGCTGGTGAATATTAGAAGAAAATCCCTGGCACCCTTGTACTGAGCATTTTTCATTGAATAGGTTGTTAGAAATCAAATTGCAAGGGATTGCTGAAGAACATGGTATTAGGAACAGGGACAAGTATAAGATCATGAGGCATGAGGCAGATAAAGAAAGGAAAGGAACGGGACAGGAGCAGAAAACTCAAGAAAAACATTTTGAAGGAGATGACAAGGTGAATCTACATATATATGAAGAAAAAAGTGGCTGCTAGTGAGCAAAGTCTGAAGATGCCACAGAGAAAAATGCCTAGTATCTTATTCCTAGGGTCCTCAGAATTACCCTAAGATTTGAGAGGCGGAGATCAGGAGAAGGGAAGTTGGCAGTGAAAATGAGAAAGGCTTTCTCTCTGACACTAAAGGAAGGTTCAAAGAGAGCATGGGGTGCTGAGTTAGCCCAAACCAGTTACCTTCAAATTTCTCTGTTACATTAGAAAACAAATCAAAAGAGTCTGAGAGAGAGATTGGGGCTTTAAACAGAAAGGAACTAATTTAGAAAATGTACCAGGGAGTTAGTAAAAATTGAATGGAGGGGCACCTGGGTGGCTCAGTCGGTTAAGTGACCAACTCATGATTTCAGCTCAGATCATGATCTCAGTCTTGAGATAGAATCCTACATCTGCCTCTGTACTCAGCTCAGAGTTTACCTGGGATTGTTTCCATCTCCCTCTCCCTC